AGACTCCAACTCAACCCTCCCCCCAAAACAAAACAAAAGCACAGCTCCGGCAGGGCTCTGACCCACCCATCCCTTCAAAAGTCATATCTGGAGCCACAAGGAGATGCAAGCTTAGCTCTTCCCTTCAGTTATTCCTTTAATTCCCATAGCCACCTTAGGGGGGATATGCTGCAATTCCCCGATACAGATGGGGAAACTGAGGCACAGGGAGGCTCCACGGAGGCAGAGCCCACGTTTCAATGCTGGTCTTTGTGGCCTTGCTCTCCTGCCTGCCTGGACTCAGAACCCGTGGCCTTGAGGAATTGTCTTCAAGTCAACATGCCTGGGCCCATGGGCAGGAGCGAGGTGCCCGCCCACCCAGCCTTACCTACTGCCAGTCCCACCATGCCTGCCCACCACAGGGATCCCCTTCATCAGGACTATGCCTCGCCCTCTTCTTCACGAAAACCTCCTCTCCCCTTGTCAGCGTGACTCTTCCCGACACAGCTTAATGTCACCTGTGGCCTGGTCTCTAAACCCACACGTAATCATCATTGCAGGCTCCTGTGTCTGTCCTGTGCTCACCCTGCCCACCCTCCCTCCTATCCTCAGAGGGAGCTGGGCCAGCCCTATCCCTCCACGTGTCCCCAGTACCCAGTCAGTTCAGGGCCAGCTCAAAGTGAATGCTGGATGAACGAACCCCCCACGCAGCTCTACAAATTCACTACGTCCAGCTAGCCTTCCCGGCCTCCGGTTGAGTTAAGAACAGTGGTCTGGATGGAACAAGACCCCAGAGGTCTCTCTACTCCACCTTCCACTGCTCAGATGAGCAGCTGGGGCACAAGATGAGGTGGGCAGAGGCTCAAAGATAGTACAATGGACGGCAGCAGGAGGAGGGGCGGGTCTGGGCGGAGGAGGGGGCAGAGGCCAATAGCTGCACCTGCCCTTAGTCCCCAGACCAGGTCCTGCCGGCCTCCCCTCCCGCTCAGCAGGCCCCCAGATCCCTGGCCACTGCAGGGGCGAGAGGAGAGGGTCTGGGGCCCCCCTCCTGAGCCCTGCGACAGGGTCCTCACTGGCGGCAGGCACCGCTCCCTGGCCTCACAGAAGACGGATCACTCCCTTAATCACTCTGGAAAAGAACCCCAAGCCGATATAATATTATAATTAATTAATTCACTAAAAAGGTATTAAATTTCTCTCCCCCCTGTGGATATTATCTGAATTCATTGACCTTTAGAAAAATCACCCTCTAATTGTAACCAGGTCCAAAAGCATTTGCAGCCCGTCCCTTTTACATTAATAATATCTTCCCGGACTCGGCTCTGGCTGCTTAAATATTGTATCAGTTCCACTGCCTCCCCTTGGAAAGGAGAGAGCCAAGAAAAAAGATGAGGCTGGAGGAGTCTGAGAGGGAGGCGGGGGCTGGACCCCAAGAGGCAGGGGTCCCGGGAGGTGAGAGGCAGGAGGTGCACCGGAAGGGGCTCTCTTTAGCTCCAGCTGAGTCTGGTGACTTGGCGGCTGGGGGAGGGGCACAGGCTTTGAGACGGGCAGGGGCCCTTGGTTGGGAGCAGGAGTGTTAAGCCTGGGGTTCGTTTTTTTAGGAGGCTGTGTGTGTGTGTGTGTGTGTGTGTGTGTGTGTGTGTGTGCACGCGCACCTGGGGACAAGAACCATAGTGTGCATCAGACTCTCATCCAAGCTAATGGCCCCCAACAGTAAAGGAAGAATCTCTGATTTAAAAGAACCACAGGATGGCTGGGCTCGGTGGCTCAGCCTGTAAACCCAGCACTTTGGGAGGCTGAGATAAGTGGATGGCCCGAGCCCGCAGGTTTGAGACCCACCCAGGCAACTTGGTGAGACCTCATCTCTTTAATAAATCAAAAATGAGCCGGGCATGGTAGTGTGCACCTGTAGTTTCGGCTACTTGGAAGGCTGAGGCAGAGGGATCACCTGAGCCCAGCAGGTCGAGGCTGCGGTGGCTGGGAGTGGCCCCACACTCCAGTCTGGGCGACGGAGTGAGACGCTAACTCAAAAAAATAAATAAAAATAAATAAAAATAAAAGAACCATGGGTGATGAAAACTTGTGGAATTCCAGGCAGCACATCCTGAGGTCTAGCATTCCCCTCCTGGGCTGCTACTGCAGCTCTGGCCTCCCAGACAACTCTGTTCTCCGGATGGTGGGGCAGGCCTCCCAGCAGATGCGGCTGGACATTCAGAACTTCCCAGGGCTAAGGAGGTAGGTGCGATGGCTGAGAGAGCAGCTGGTCGAGACAGAGACAGACAGACATGGGAGCTGGAGTCACAGACAGTGGGGGCAGGGGCAGGGCCACTCACCCTCACCACCTCCACTCCCCTACACCCTGGCTCCTGCTGAGGGTACCTGGGCTCGCTTGGACCTCTTTCCCGGCTCCCCCTCACACTGTACAGGCAGTTTGCTCTCTAGGCCTCAGGGGGCTTTCTCGATGACCCAAAGGGGCTGGGCTGACCCATCCCTGCTTCCACACCTGCCACTGTCCCCACTCTGCCTTTTCACTTTTTGATTTTTTGGAGACAGAGCCCACCTGGAGGTGTGTGTGTGTGTGTGTGTGTGTGTGTGTGTGTGTGTGTGTGTGTGTTGGGGTGGATATCTTTGACCTCCACTCATGTACCCTGGCATCCTGGGTAGTTCCTTCGGGAAGAGACAGTAACGGGGCAGAGACTAGGTGAGGCCTGAGAAGACTGGTTGAGTAAGGCAAAACTTAAGGGACATAAAAAAACTTAGCAATGAAAACAGTAGTTTCCTGCAATATGTTTAAAAATCAAAACTAATGCCAATAAGTCCATGGTGAACAAAATGCAAACATTTTGTGTTTTTATTTAATTTTGTTTTTAAGAGACAAAATCTCACTCTGTCTTCCAGGCTGAAGTGCAGTGACATGATCATAGCGCACTGCAGCCTCGAACTCCTAGGCCCAAGGAATCCTCCTGCTGCAGCCTCCTAAGTAGCTGGGACTACAGGTGTGAGCCACCATGCCCAACCTTAAAAAAACAAAAACAAAAAACAAACAAAAAAACCTCCCCTTACAATAAAGAACAAGGCTGAAGAATGCATTCCCCTCTCATCTAATCGGAGATGTTCATAACCACCAGTCCAAGGCCAAGAGCCGGACTTAATTCCAGTCACAAGGTGAAGATGACGAGGATCGGGTGCAAGAACACTTTCTGGTGACTTATTGAAATGCTGGAGGTAGCTCCTGGGCCAGCCCCAACCAAAATGATGGACTGCAGGACCCCCAGGCAGGGTGGAAGCAAGGCTCGAAATGTGTAATAAAGCTGAGATGCGCCCACTCCACCAGCCAGGGCAGACAACTGCCTGGTCCTGGCCCAGGGGCACCCTCTTGTGGACAGAACCCCACTCGCACCCTTGGTCCCGTCCAATGTAGCCCATACCCCACTCCCCAAGCTTCAGGTGGTGCCAGACTGAAGGACCCCCTGAGGCAGGAAGCCAGCGGGCGGGCAGAAGGGGGTTCCGGTGGTCTTGAGGGGCTGTGTGAGAAAGTAGGTGGGCAGCTTCCATTCCATGGAGTGAATCTCCAGGGGGAGGTGGAAAACCAGGTGGGGACAGGGAGAGATTTCTCAACCGCCTGAAGGCCCAGCTTCCAGATTCCCTGCCCCTGCCAGTGCCAAGGCAGCCTGAGCCTGGACCATCAAGTGTCTCCCAGCCAGAGTCCAGGGCCTGCCCCAGAAGGGGCTCCGAGGGGGTTCCCTGGGCACGGACCAGTCCCAGGCAGTGGTGTGGAACTGGAAGCAGGCGCCAGTGCCCTGGCTGGCTCGGGCTCCACAAGGTCATCCACAGCTCCATCTGACCTTGAGAGGAAGCCTGCAGCCTCCGCCAGCCCGGCCACCATCGGCACCCATGCCGCCCGGCCCCCTTTGCTTCATTCCCTTCACACGTACGTTAATTGCTCCAACGTTGATTTGATCTCCCATTCTGCACAGAGGAAATTGCCCTCTTAGCCATTTTCATCCTGGGATTTTTTTTTTTTTTTTCCTTTTAATTAGGCCCCTTCAGCCTCTCAGGGCCCGGTGAGGGGGAAGCCATTTTGGTCTCTGCCTGGAGACTGTGGCAAGTCGAGGGGGGAACTGGACGAAGCCAAAGAAGACACCCTCTTCCCTCCCCCACCCCAGACACTGGGGGCTCAAGCAGCCACCCCTCACCCCTCACTGCCCAAATCCATTTCCCCATCCTGGGTGAGGTAAGAAAATCCCAACCTTGGAGCAGAGGCCCTCCAGGACCACCGTGTGGTGGGGGGGGGGGACACGGGACTGCAGCCCAGACAGAGGAAAGGATTTCCCAAGGCCAAGGCCTCACTGAGCAGGGTGGGAATAGAATCCGTATCCTTCACTCCCACCCAGCGGCCTGTGCTCCTGTCTCCTTCCAAACTAGGTCACGTGGGTCCCTTTTCCCAAAACCCTGGAAGGACGCAGTCCCTCAGTTACTGGGAAACCTGACCTGCTAGAGACACTGAGTGGGGGCTGCAGGGGCACTGGCCTCCAGAGCACCCAGTTAGAGCTTCTCAAGCTAGATGGCAGCTCACCAGGGGAGGTCATCACTAGAACTAGGGGTGGGAGGCCAGAGAAGCATGCCCCCACCCCGGGGCCAAGAGCAGCTGGGCCAAGGGTGCCCAAAGCCGCAGCTATGGACTGTAGACTGGGTTTATGAGCCACCCCTCCCCCACATCATCCACGCCAGTCTCAGGCCACAGCTGGAGGTGCAGGACCAGCGTGGCTGTAGCGCCACCTTGTGGCCATGAGGGACAATGCCCCCATCAGCACCCAGACCAGCTGCGTCGCGGGCTTCCCTGGGATGGGACTGATAAGTTGGGGAAACAGGTGTCAGGCTTGTTCTCGCTTCTCTGTGTCCCCCACCTCGGCACCCTGCAGAAAGCGTCCACACTCCGAACCCAGAAGGGGGCCCGTTGGGTTGAATCCTCCCGTTTGCTGTCAGCCCTTGACCCGCTCCAAAGAGACAGGACCAACAGGTACAAAGCACAGTGTTTACTAAAGGCACAAAGTGGGGATTCTGGAGGGGAGCTGCTCTTCTGGCAGTGACCCCACACTTAACCTGAACCCAGCCCTCCCTGTCTTCCGGCAGTCCCCGCCCTCACACCACCTGGTGGAGAGCTGTTAGCACCAAAGGGGGTGGGTGCCCCACCTGCGAGGGGGCGAGGACCAGGCTGGGGTGGGCTTGTTGCCATCAGAAAGGCAGGCTTGGGCACCCCCTGGACCAGTCGCCTCAGAGAAGGAGTTTCCTGAACCCCACCCAGCATGTCCTTCCTTGGTGGCCAGGGGGGTCAGGCCCAGAAGACAGGACCTCCCCCACAGGCGTCTTCTTACCTCTAGTGCACCCTGTCCCTCCCTTCCCCTCATGATTTTGCCTCTGAGAGCCAGGCCGGAGGCCTATTCCCACCCAGCCCCGTCAAGAGGACGGCCCGTGGGGAGGCAATGAGCCAGGCCTGGGTACTCTTGACCCCACAGGCTGCCAGGCAGGCACTAAGTCCAGACAGGGGGCCAACAGGGAGGGGTGAGGCAGGACAGGTGGCTACATCACACACAAATGCAGCCTGGAGGGTGGGAGGGAGGTGCCCTCCCAGCCCCCAGGCCGGCCCCTGTTCCCTGGCACAGGGGCAGCCAGGGTCACAGCACGTCCCCCTCCTCCATGCTGAAGCTGCTCCGGCGGCTGCTGGCCTTGGAGGCCTCGGGGGACATGGTGGACAAGAGGGGATCGGAGGCCAGCGGCAGCAGTGAGTTGTCCAGGAGCATGAGGTCCAGATCCTTCTTGGACAGGTTGGGGAAGGGGGAGCCATGCTCCGGCCCCAGAGGGTCAGGGTAGCCTGGGGGACCCTCGTCATCCCCGCCCCCAAAGCTCAGGCTGTGGCTAAAGTCCAGGTGATGGAATGGGGAGGGCGGCTGGGTGGCCAGGGGCAGCGGGGCCTGGGGAGGCAGAGCCGGCAGCGGCTCAGGGTCGGGGACCTCAGCCCCCAGCATCAGGGCCTCCCCTGGGCCCTCTTCGCTGGGCAGCTCCTGCTTCACCACCTGCTGGGCCAGCTCAGTCATGTTCATGCCCGACGGGGACGTGGTAGGGAGGCCGTGCACTCGTGCCTGCATCTCCAATTCCTGTGGGGGACAGACAGGGGGCTGAGGTACACACCCCTGGGCACCAGCTGCCAGGCCCCCCTCCCTCAGAGCCCCATCGCAGCACTTGCCCCTGCCCTATGGCACCCAAGACCATGAAAACGTCTCCACTGGAAGAAAGCATGGGGTAGTGCTGGAGTCTAGACCAGTGTTTTTTCCAACTACAAGCCGCAACTCATTAGTGGGTTGTGAAACCACTCTATGAGCCTTGACCAGCTCTCTCTCTCTCTTTTAATTGAAATAGACTTGTCCAGACTAGACTAGAATAGAAATTATCAGAATGCATTGCATCTATTAAGGATGAGTGTTCCCTCATGAAACTTTGACTTTTCACTTTGAGCGTGTCTGTGTGTTAGATGTTAATGTGAATTGTATTATCTTCCATGAGAAACAGAAAATTGTGCTTTATATTGAGGACCAGCCTCCGGTCCAAAGAGGACAAGAGGCCCTCGACACAGCACCAGGACTAGAACTCTCAGCCTGGCTGGTGGAGTCGACTCTGCCAAGCTCTTGTTCTTCAGCTTGTCCTGCGGTGATGCCCAGCCTCCACCCCAAGGCTCCCGCTCTGCCTCCCAGGCACATGGGAGGTTTGCAATTTTCTGCCCCCTTGAGGTTAGAGGTGGAATGTGCTTGCACTGGCCCAGCACATGTGAGCAGAAGTGGCATGTGGCACCTTATGAGTGACAATGGCTTTATGAGCCAGCTCTAGGTGTGCCTGTCGATCTCACAGGACAGAAACTCCAGCTGATAGCTGTTCCTTAAAGCTTAACATCCTGACTGATACATCCTCCTTCCTAGGGGGCATCACTCCCATGGCTCCAACTTCAGAAGTGCCCCGGGGGTCAGGAGCCAGACCAGGGTCAGGGGTCAGCGCTACCAAAGAAGTCCAAGTTCAGGACCAGACCTGGATACGGAGCCAGAGCTGCTTGTTGGTCATCTCCAGGCGGCGAGAGTGGTTCTCAAGCTCCCTGGACTTCTGCAGGTCCTTCTGCATCCTCCGGATGTAATCCACAGAGGCCTTGAGAATGGTGCCCTTGTTCCAGCGCACGTCCCTGCAGTAGCGGGCCAGGCAAAGTCAGAGGGGCACTCTCAGAGGAGAGGCCAAGTCCTTGCCACCGCTTTGGCTACAGAGCCTATGTGGCCTGTCCCAGCCTCACCCACCAACCCTAGGCCTGGTCACATCCCATTTGTGGAGGAGGCTGATCTCGGTTTGCACAAAACAGACCTTCCCAGATGACTTCTGTTGCCACTGCCCGCCTCACTAATCTCATAGACCCAAGCAATTCAGAGCAGCCTCTCTCCCAAGACTACAAAAACCAAGCCCACCCTGGTCTCTCAATACTCCTACCCCTCAGCCACCTCTCTCCTTTCCACTAGTCCAATTCCCCTGAGCAAACTTTCCCAGCACAACTCCTTGTCCAGAAAGTCTTCCTTGACCCCAACCTCACTTCTGGAACAGGAGCTCTTCTACCTTGAGCCTTCCTGACTTGGGAGAGGGAGGGGTCTTCTTTTCCCAAATAGACAAGCTCCCAGAAGGGATCCTTCCCATCCTAGCACCTAGTGTGGAGCTGAGGGCAGAGAGCACCCACTAGCAGCTGCCTACCCCCAGGCTCTAGCCCTCCCCCAACCAGAAACCTGCTCACAGGTCGTTGGCTTTGGGGATCAGCATTCCCAACTCCTTGATGCGGTCATTGATGTTGAACCTCCGCCTCCTTTCAACTAAAGGTAAGAGATTTGGGGAGGAGCAATTAGAGGGATGGGGACCCACCTGGGGAGAAGTGTCTAGCCCAGGGAAAGGCATCTTGGGGGGCTCTGCAGCTAAGATATATTTAGTTATTTATTTAGAGCTAGGGTCTTTTTCTGTCACCCAGGCTGGAGTGCAGTGGCATAATCATGGCTCACCACAGCCTCAACCTCCTGGGCTCAGGAGATCCTTCTGCCTCAGCTTCCTGAGTAGCTGAGACTCTAGGTGCCCACCATCATGCCTAGCTAATTTTTTTTTTTTTAATTTTTTCATAGAGGCAAGATCTGGTGATGTTGCCCAGGCTGGTCTCAAACTCCTGGGCTCAAGCAATTCTCTCACCCTGGCCTCCCAAAGTGCTGGGATTACAGGCGTGAGTCATCGCACTCGGCCTGCAGCTTATATTTACCTCTCTTAGGAAGTAAGGGGTGGCCAATAGATTGGGATTTCTACAAGGGTGACAGGGGCCAGGGCAAAGGCCAGAGAGGATGAGGGGCCACTGGGAGGCAGAGTTGGGCCCGGGTCAGGCTGGCCACACAGCAAAGCTGCCTGGGGCAGGATCCTTCCCCAGTGCACAGAACTCCTCTGTGGCGCCAGGTCCCAGGCCTCAACCCAGAAAACTGGTGGTTTCATGAACATCCCTTCCCAGGCCCTCTCTCCCACCTCCTCCTAAAGAGGACCAGTGGAAAGAGCGCCCTTAACGAGCCACCCACAGTTGGGTCACACAAACAGGAGGGTTCAAGGCATCTGCAAGGGGTTGGCCTCAGGTAGGGAAGCCGGCCTAGCATGGCCTAGCACCTGCGCAGTCAGGGGGAGGAAGAGGGAGGAGTGGGAGGGAGCAGGCTGACTCACTTAGGTTGTGATTGTCTTTCTTCTGCCGCTCCTTGGCCAGGGCCCGGCTCTCAGCATCTGGAGGCCAGGGGAGAAGGAGAGAGGAGCTGGGAGGGAGGGAGAAGCAGAGGAGGAGTCGGGGATCCAAGGGCACAGAGAGGGAGGGAGGCAGTACCTGTGAGCTCTCGCTTCTGGGTCAGGTCCGCGGGGCAGGAGCTGCTGGTGACGCCCACCAGGGAGGCTGTGACCTGGGGGTCGCTCCTGTACACGTTCAGGTGGCTGCTGGACAGGGGCAGCTGTGGGGGGAGGGAGGAGGGGGACCTATAAGCAGCCCCCTCTCCATGGGGAGCCTCCTCCAGGAAGAGTCACTCCCAGAGACACCAGGGGCGTCAGAATTTGCCCTGGGCCCCTTCACCCTGCAATTCAACCTGAAGGCCTGCAGAGTCCAGAGCTGAACAAGCTGCAACCCAGCCAGCAAGGAGCAAGTGGCCTAGAGCCAGCTGAGAGAATGATCAAATCAGTGACAAGTGCATGATAGGATCAGGCCCTAGGCATCCCGGCAGCCCTAGAGAGGGATACCTAACCGACTCTGGAACTTCTGGAGGGTTTCCTGGATGTGGAACTTAACAGAGTCTTAAACAGACAAGCAGAGAAGGCACCCCCGACAGGGGGGTATGGCACAGACCAAGACAGGGAGGCTGGCTAAAGCGCGGCCACTCCAAGCCACTCAAGTGATGGGAGTGGAGAATGCACTGTAGGCAAGGTCAGGAGATGCAGCTGGACTCCTGACTGCCATGTTTGACTTGCAAAGACACAGTGTGGGAACGGGCAGCCAGTGGAGGCTACAGCAGGGGCCTGACATGCGGAGGTTTGAGCTCTGGAAACTCTCCCTGGCTTCTGCCACAGAAACACGCAGAACAAATCACAGGTCCAGACACCCCACAGGGTACACAGGAACTGCTAAAGGGACCAGACACTTGCACCCTCCCTCTCCTCGCCCTCCATCTCCCCACCATCCCTCCTCAGCCCTTGCCAGCTGCAGGTTTGGACCCAACTGGTCCTGGCCAGCTCCTGTTCAGCTACTCAGAAATGTCACCAGGGCAGTAGGGATTGAGGCTCGACTCTTTGACTCCCCGCCGCAGGAACTGGGGTCTTTCCCTTGGTGGCATGGGCTGGGGCCAGCACCAGGGAAAGGGGCTCATGCCCAAGAAGCAGTAGAGGTTCAGGGCCTCCAAAAAAAGCAGGCAGGAGGGGCACTAGCAATTCCACCTGCTCAGTGTCAACACCTGACACCCTTGTGCAGGGTTTGCCCTCAACTTCTTGCCTCATCTAATCGTCCCACAACCCTACGGGCAGACAGCATCACCCCATTTTGCAGCTGGAAAAAATCTGGGGCTCAAAATATTTGAGGGACTTGGGTCACAACGAAAGTCAGAAGTCAGGCCTTTTGATTCCAGACCCGGACCCTTCTACCTGCCACCCCACCTCTGCCCCAGAAATCCAGAGAGCTGGTTACAGGAAGATGCCAGACGGAGGGGTCCTGTGATTGGGGACACTTGCCCCACACAGTGAGGGTCACAGGCTTTTGCCTGCTGGACCCTGGGCTTGATAGCGGAGGGGAGGCCCAGGTCTCCAAAACTCACCAGCTCCGGGCCATCCTGTGGACACACTGCCCCACCTCCCCTCATCCCTGCAATGCTCTCTCTGTCTCCTGTCTACCCCCACCCATAAAGCTTCCGCTGGTGGCTCAGTCACCTCTGTCTCCTCTGAAGCCCCATCATGCACACAGGCTGAGGTACATCATTCTCAATTCATAAGTCTGCTTGGCTCTGGGCCCTCATCACATTATTTGGTTGATGACTCTTCCTGGGCTCAAGCAATCCTCCCACCTCAGTCTCCCTAGTAGCTGGAACTACAGGCTCACACCACCAAGCTCAGCTAATTTTTTTTTCTGTAGAAGCAGGGTCTTCTTTGTGGCCCAGGCTGGTCTTGAACTCCTGGCCTCAAGTGATCCTCCCCGCTTGGCCTCCCAAAGTGCTGGGATTACAGATTTGAGCCTTTGCACTCAGCGTGGAAGTCACTCTATCTCTATAGGAAGATGCCACCTCTGCCCGGTAGGAATCCTCTCTCTAGCTCCTCCAGGCTCAGAGCCACTGTGGGTTCTCCCTACCACCCCAGCCACCCTTACATGCCCACCCCACTCTGGCCAGGAATACCGTGTTGGGCATCTGCAATTCAGGGTTGATGTAGCCCAGGACATCATCCAAACGCATGATGTTGTCAATGACGTCATCAAACTGGAAAACAGGAAAGTTCATCTGGGAGGGCCCACCAGGAGACAGGGGAGGGGAAGGGGCACAGGGGCAGCCACTGACCTGGAAGGACCACGAAACCCTTCACACCCAACCTGCTCATCTTGCGGGAGAGGAAACAGGCTCAGAGAAGGGATAAGCTGTCCAGGTTCCACTGGCCTCAAGGCCAGGCCAGGGTCTTCCAGGGAGCCTAGCTGCCCAGGGAGCTTCCTTGATACACCTTCTGTCTATGGCTTTGCAGGTGTACCGGGCTTTCCTGTATGAGTCTTCTGTTTCTCCCTAGCAGAGTTCTCAAAAGTAGGGATGGTGTTTCTCCTGTGAGATGGGGGATCCCTAAGGACAGTGCTGTCTCTGCCCCCACCCAGTCTGGGGCTCCCTGAGGACAGGGTTGTTTCTCCCCATCAGACTGGGGCTCCCTGAGGACCAGGCTGTGTCTCCCCTCTCGGACTGGGGTTTTCTGAAGACAGGACTGTGTCACCACCCTCAGACTGGGACTCTCTGTGTCTCCTCCCTTGGACTGGGTCTCCCTGAAGATGGGTCTGTCTCTTCCCTCGGACTGGAGCTCCCTGAGGACAGGGCTGTGTCTCCTCCTCAGACTGGAACTCCCTGAGGACCGGGCTGTGTCTCCCCCCTCTGACTGGGGCTTCCTGAGGACAGAGCTATCTCTCCCCTTCAGACTGGGGCTCCCTGGAGACAGGACTGTGCCTCCACCCTCGGATTGGGACTCCCTGAAGACAAGGCCGTCTCCTCCCTCAGACTGGAGCTCCCTGAGGACAGGGCTGTGTCTCCTCCCTCAGACCAAGACTCCCTGAAGATGATGCTATCTCTTTCCTCAGCTCCCTGAGGACAGGTCTATGTCTCCCCATCAGACTGGGGCTTCCTGAAGACAGGGCTGTGTCTCCCCCCCTCAAACAGGGGCTCCCTGAAAGCAACACCCCTGCCTCTGCCATTAGACCGGGGGCCCCAGGAGCACAGCGACCGCACCAACTCTGCAGACAGCGGCAGCCCCTGGCCAGCGGTGCACTCACCTCCCTCTCGGGGTTGGAGCCGATGTGCAGCATGGCCATGGGGCTGTTGGGAGCACTGTTGCCGGCTGAGGAGGACAACACGTGTCCTGCCCGCACGCCCGGGGAGGCGGCTGGCGGGGGCTTCGGGGAGCCCTGAGCAGGGCTGATGTGGGCAGCAAACTTGTTCCCGTAGGTCTCGGACAGGTACTCCCGCACTTTCTGGTGCTGCGACTGCTGCAGGTGATAGGACGTGGGATTCTCCAGGTAGGACTGCACCTGGGAGGGGAGAAGGCACGGGCTGAGCTGAGTCGGGACGGGGAGGACGCCAGGTAGGACTGCACCTGGGAGGGAAGAAGGCGGGCGGGCGGAGAGAGGCTGGGCTGCGTCCACCGACCTTCAGCACCTCCCCAGGCACGGGAGGCGGTGACTGGAAGTGCGCAGGGGTGTTGATGGCCGGGGTGGGCGGCCCCGCCAGCTGCTGCTGCTGCATGTAGTGCATGACGGCCTGCTGCTGCATGCGCTCCCGCTGCTCCTCCTGCTGCGCCTGCTCCCGCATGAGCTGCATGCGCAGCCCGATGCGTGACGCCATGCCGGTTGCTGGTCGGCTCCCTGGGGACGAGGGGGGGACGTCTGTGAGGCGCTGGTCCTCCTCAACACGGCGGCCCAGGGAGGGGCCAGGACAGGCAGGGTCGCCTCCATCGTACAGGAGGAGACCCTGAGTCCTGAGAGGGGAAAGGGCCACCCCAAGGTCACAGAGCAAGCGGATGGCAGAGCTGAGCACCCTTGGGAGTTTCCTGGTCTCTCTGGAGAGTCTCTCTTCTTCGTGTAGTGCAGCTGGTCAGCCCCCACCTCTAGGAGCCGACCTCAACGCCTCTCTGCCTCACGACCACATCCGGATCCTGACAGATCTGACCTCGGATCCATCCTCTGCTGCTGCTACCAATGCGGGCCCAGCCTGCGCCAGGTCTTATCTGGATTCCTGGAGAGCCTCCTAATGTTCAGACTTCCGCTGTCTGCCTTACCCCACAACATTCTACTTGAAACTCAGCAATTAGCTGGATCCTGTTAAAACCTAAGTGAGAGCCTGTCCTGCCCTCTGCCTGGAACCCTCCACGGCTCCCACTTTTACGTAGAGGAAAAGCTGAAATCCTTGCCATGGCCAGAAAGGTCCCCTATGATCTGCCCCCACCTCGTGTCCCCCTCTGACCCCAGGCTCCCCTACTCTCCCCCTTTGTCCCATCTGCTCCAGTCACCCCCACCAGCCTCTGTGCCAGCCCTCAAACACCCCAGCGTGCTCCCACCTCAGGGCCTTTGCCCTTGCTGTTCCCTGTGCCTGGAATGCTCTTCCTCCAGATGATATCCTGGCTCACTCCTTCACCTCCTCCAAGGCTCAAACGCTGACCACCCTGTTAAAATCTGCAGGCCCCCTACTCCTCATGTCCCCACTCACTCTGTCCCTTCCCTCTTACTTTTTTTCCCATATCACTTATCACCATCTTAAATACTGTGCATTTTTGCTTAGTTATTTCATTCATTGTTTGTCCCTTTCCTAACCAGGAATGCAAACTCCCCTGAGGGCAGGCATTTCCCTGTCTTATTCACTGCTGTACCTTGAGCCAGGGCCTGGGACAGGATCGATGCTGAACACATGTGTGAAGGAATGAAATACCATGTATGTGCCAGGCACTGGGCATGCAGCTGTAAGCTCCGAGCACACGGGGTCTATAGTCTAGTAGATGAGAAAGGCAAGTCCATGGCCTTTATAATCCTGAGCAGGGAGGGCTACTATGGGGCACCCAGCCCTCACCTTCTGTGGGTGTCTGTGCGACAGGCATGACCTAGGCCCCAAGCCTAGTCTGCAAGGTGAGAGGATAGGGCAGAATGAGTCCTGCAGCTGGACCCGCTCTGTCCCTAGCACATGGAGTGACCCCAGGCAAGTCCCTTCCTCTCTCTGAGTCTCCATCTCCCCATGCACGAAAGGAAAGGGTTGAACCCAGTGACTTCTAAGGTTCCTCCCAGTGAAGGTGGGCTGAGACTCTCTGAGAAGCACAGGGCTCCTGGGAGTGCCCCAGACTCCAGGAGGGTCCTGGCAGGGGCTGGAGAGTTCAGTCTTGGGGATATTGCAAGAGGCAGTATGACTTCATGGTTGAGCAAGGGCTTCCCAACAGGGCAGACATAGGCTTGAATCGCAGTTCTGACACTTCTTTGCTGTGTGCCCTTGGGCAAGCCCCTGTGAGCCTCAGTTTCTTGGTTAAACAGTTTCTACTTCAGAAGACCGGAGTGTTAAGTAGAAATAACGTGTCTTGTGTGGTGGGTAGCACGTGGGAGGCTGAGCGCATGAGACGTGGGCAAGCACATGACCAGCAGGGTGAGCTGCCCAGCGGGGACCAGAGGCCAGAGCTGTGTTCCAAGCTCCTGAGAATGAGCCCCAGAGCATGGGGCTGGCAAAGACGAGCAGCACAGGCTGACATGTTCTGGCTAATGCCAGATAATGGACTTAGCAGTCGCGAAAGGTACTAGCAAATATTCCGTGACAATCCCAAATCATAGTTATAACTTGCATTGATTTGAGTATTTCCTGTGTGTCAGGCAATGCTCCAAGCACTTTCACCCCAAACAGGCCTGAAGTCGGTTCAATTCTTATTCTCCTTTGACAGTAAGAAGAAATAGAGGCACAGGGAGAGTCCGTGCCTTGTGGTAGGCACGGGGACCCAGCTGGGATCCGGAACCAGAGCTGGGGAGTAGAGGGTCTCCAACAGAGCTGGGAAGGAGCCTGTCCCAAGTTGCAGGGCTGGTTGATCCAGGCCAGGAACGGAGCCTAAGCCATCTGACCCCAGCTAGGACTCCTGCCACCACTATGTGGTGTCCCTACAAGATACACAGCACGTAGTGGCCCTCACCTCCTCTTCCTTCCTTCTCTGCCCCTAGGCCATGAGTCAGTGAAGGGGCTGCCCAGCTCCCAACAGGGCAGTCCCAGGGAGAAAGGGTCAGACGCTGACTCCTCCATCCACAGCAGGGACACAGCTGCAGCCTCCACCTACTCCTTCCCTGTGCTCCTACAGAGGGGTACCCTGTGTGTACACCCCCACTGCCCACCACATACACTAGTCCTACAGACCTCATGGGCTCCGACACCAACTCAGCCCATCCCCTTGCAGCTGTACCCCCTTACACACCCACCCATACAGCGCTGGGCAGCCCCTCCCCCTCCGGGACAATCTGACTTCAGTTGGCCCGGGTGGGGGGCGGGCGCCGGGCCTGGTAGTGCCAGCCGGCACGGGGAGGGCTGGGGGAGAATGAGCCCCTTGTTTCTCTGACAAAGGTCTGGACGTCTGGCCAGGCCTGGGCCAGAGCTGGCTTTGCTGTGAGGAGGACCCGGGCAAGGCCCTGCCTCTTCCTGGCTGGGCCAGCCTCAGTTCCCTCATCTGTCAAATGGACTCAGGAATCCCTGCCCCACTGCCCGCCTGGAATCTTTGTGAGCCTCTTGGGAGAGGATGTTGGAGAACTGTGGACCACGAGGTGTCTGGACATCAGTGTCCCCTGTCCTTTGACAGAGGGTGGTGGGGCACTGCCCACCGCCTCATCGTTACAGTAGTGCCCCACAGAGCTGCTTCTTCCAGCAAGTTCCACCCCCCTCTCCTGGCCCTGGTTCCCAGCCTGGGCTGCTGTGAGTGTGGTCTGGGTGGGGTGGGTATGGGGGCAAGGAAAGAAATTGGAGGGATTCAGGGCAATGGGGGTGGCCCAGGACACGCTTAGCTCCCCACCCTTGGCCCCCACTACTCACTCTCAAACCTAAGGAGCCACTCGGAGCCTCTCCGGTGCCCAGTTCAGTCAGGAAGAACTGAGAGGAAGAACATGGGAGCACCAAAACACCCCTGAGCCCCTCTCCACCACCTGGAAAGGATCCACCGTGCACACATTCAGTACCAGGGGCCTGAAGTGCCTTCTATGTGCAGACACCAGGGTCAGGGTGTTTCCTGGAGAACCTTCTCCCCTGCCCCCTCCCAGGTAACACCCTCCTTCTAAGGGGAGGCCTAACACCCCAGAGAATTCCTGCTCTCTCCAGTTACACAGCTGCCCCCACCAATGCCCTCAGGATCCTCCCACCATCTTCTGCTGCTGTTCACCCAGAGTCTCTCAGCTGATGCTGCCTCAGCCCAAAGCTCATCTGGGTTCCAGCTTAGTCATGACCAAAATGAGCTTCGCAGTCCAACAGGCTCGCTGCGCATATTGGCTGGGTGACTTCTGAAGGTCACTTAACCTCTCTGTGTTTTGCTTTCTTCCTCTCTAAAATGGAACCAATGATAGCACCTGCCTCTTGGGGCTATGGTGAGGATTCAAGGTGACACAGTGAGTGTGCGGAAGCCACCTTGCAGGCCCTTTGGCATTTGATGTTGGGGGATCTTGGTCTCCTCTGGTTTCATTCAGCCTGTGTATGGTTCTCCCTGTCAGTCATTTATACCTTAGTATGAACCAGCTGGTCAGAACTTTTCTAGAGGAAAGATGTGGAGAAATGGAAGGGAGAGTCAGGGAGAAATCACTGGTCTCCAAGAGGGAGAGTTGAGGAGAAAGCGGACCTCAGAACAGGAGAGTTTCAGATATAGGAAGGAAGACATCAAAGATATATCACTGAGTTGAAAAAGCAAACTGCAGAATACAATATGCAGCCTGGGCCCATTTCGGCAGAAAATGTGTATATGTGAAGAAAAGACCAGAAAGATCATAGCCCTGGTACCTAAGTGCTTATTAAATGCTTGCCATGGGTCAGAGCTAGTCAATGTGCTTTTCAAATAGTAATTCATTTTTTGTTTTTGCTTTGTTTTGTTTTTGAGTCTGAGTCTCACTCTGTCACCCAGGCTAGAGCACAGTGGCACACTCACGGCCACCGCAGCCTTCCACCTGCTGGGCTCAGGCAATGCTTCCACCTCAGCCTTTCAAGAAGCTGGAACTACAGGCATGTGCCATCATGCCTGGCTAATTTTTATTGATTTATTGTAGAGATGAGGTCTCACCAAGTTGCCCAGGTTGGTCTCGAACCTATGGGCTCAGGCAATCCTCTTGCCTCAGCCTCCTGAAGTGCTGGGATTATAGGCATGAGCCATCGCACCTGGCCTCAATTCATTTTTTTTCCTTCACAACAACCCAGTAAGGTGAGTACTATTATTGTCCCCATATTTCAGGGAGGAGATGGGGCACAGAGGAGTGAAGGAACTTGCCCAAGTTTACACTGCTGATCAGTAGCAGAACAGAAATTTGATCCAGGCAGCCTAGTTCACAGCCCCCACTCTTCAACTCCTATTCTGGGGCTCCCCCAGCACCTCAAGCTGTTCAGAGGAGTTACTGATAGGAGGGGGGTAGGAAGGGGTGGGAGAGGGGAGGGTACAGACGGGTTTTTATAGTCCCTCATTCACTTACAAAGCACTTAGCTCTTATAGAGTGAATATCTTCTCTTCACACATGGAAAAGGAAGCAGGGTAGCTTCTAGTGGTTTGTGAGGAGCCCAACCTGCTTCCAATCATGTCCAAAGATAGGTTGCCAAGAGCAAGAGTCTCCCATCTCCACTGGGTCTGGCTCAAGCCCTGCTTTGCTTAGTGCAGTGGCCACTAGGCCAGCTGAGG